ATTAAGGTGTTTCTAGATTTTTATTGAATAAACATGCAGCCATGGCTGCATTTTCCTTTATATTCAGTCTCCAGGACACTTCACCTGCTATAATACACTCTTTGCCTTTTTTGTATTTAATTAATTGTGATTTCAACTTGTTTTAAATGACCATATATGAAATATGCAAAATGCAGTGTATTTCTTATATGTTCTTTCATTCTTTTTTGGTACTGGGGATAAAATTCAGGAATTCTTAACTATAGAGGCATATCCCCATCCCTTTTTATTTTGAGACAGGGTCTCACTAAGTTGCCTGGATTGGCCTTAAGCTTGCAATCCTCCTGCCTCAGCCCCCTGAGTAGCCAGAATCATAGGCATATGCCACATCTTGTGTTTTCTTTGTTAAGCAATGTTGTAGTTTCCTTCATTCTTCCATTGCTTAGTCTGCTTTTTTTGGCATTTTTTTTTTAAAGCTGCTCTTTCCTAGCCACTTTTCTTTATTTTATACCAGAAAAAATGCCTCTTACTGGCTTTCTTCCAGTTTGAGAGCATAATCCTCTCAGATATAGTTAGGGTGAATAAGGCTTTTCTTGTGAAAAATAATAATCTGTATCTTTCCCATGGGAGAAGAACATGAACTGGTACTTACATGTTATTTAGCATGGTATTGTAGAGATGGTGGTACCTGGTTGTATTTTGCAGGATTTTTCCTTTATTTTTGTGTTGTGTCAATTTTAGCTATTTTACAAGTTATTAACATAACCAGAGAGAAGCGAATTCTTTTTTTTAAATGATTGTGATGAAGACTTGAAAATCTAAAACAAATAACTTGAAAAACTAAATTTAATTTGAATGAATAGTAGTCATTATTTTTCATTACCATCTCTTTAGTGACAACATTGAAAGAGATTGATAGAAGACTCTAGAAAGGAGGAGGATACAAAGAGTAGCTGCATCTGTCTCTTTCTCTTGAGTGCTTCACATTTTTTTCCATTTATTATTTTGATTTTGATCAATACATCTCCAAACCTTTATTTCTCATTACTTTACTTCTTCATCACTTTCAATATGTTCTAAAAGAAACAATAAAGCTTTTGTATTAATAACAATAGCAGAGTATTTTACCATGTTGAGGTGGTTCTTTAAAGGAGAATTCACAAATACCTGTCTCTTAGGAGACAGTGATGGAAAAATGGGGTAGCTTGAGGATGTCAGTTTCCAAAGTGAATCCAGACTGAGAGGCTGAAGTCATCTCTCTTTTCCAATATGAGTATAGGAAGAATTCAATGCTGGGAATTAAACTTTGGCATTTCTTGGCATATAATCAATAACCTGACTTGCAAACTCTTAATATGAAGATTTTTACTCCAAGATCACCTGCAGCTATTGTTTCTTATACCTTGTGGGGTATTAGGGATTCCCAGTGTTTTAATCTCTTGGGTGCTATTTAATCGGGTTTTATGGTGGCAAGGGTTAAAACCTCCATGTATTGATGTATCTTTTCATTGAAAATGAATGGCATTAGATTTTTCCAAAAGAAGCATGAAGTGAGCTGAGACATGGTGTTCTAAGCTCCAGATTGTAGTTTTGCTTTCTATTCCAGATTTTTCCATTGACTTGAAGAGTAAAAAAGAGAAACCTACTCTAGCTAACTTATGCAGAAAAAGATTTGCTGCAAGGGTGTTGTACAATTTATAGACCTGATGAGAAGGATAGAGAAATAGGCTCAAAAAATAGCAGGGATTTAAAGGTGGTTGAGAATTTGTGCTCATAGCCAGATAGACACATCCAGTTAGGAAGCCAGTTTGCTGCTGGCTATGTATGGTACTTCCCTAGGCTTAAATTCACTGTGGGAATTTAAGCTGCCTCTTGACAGCTGGATTGGCAGTTTTCTTGTTTCTAGCTTTCAGGGAGTCCATAAGGTTTATGGACTCCCTGAAAAAATGTTTTTCATGATAATTCTTAGGTCATTATTTGTCTTTTTTACTGTGTTGACTTTTGCACTGATGGTATAAAAGTACAGGTGAGCAAAAGTGTTGGCACCTTAGCATGAGTGGAGGCAGTGACATGGCTGTGTGTGTGTATGTAACTGTTTTTACTGACAAATTTCTGACAGCAAATATATGGGGTTTTGACTCATATCAGCCAATTTTCCAACTATCTAGGTACCCACTGGGTGTCTTATAATTCAGTTCAGTTCTGGCACTAAGCACCAGTGCTGTTGTCAAACTCTAAAAGAGTTTAAAGGCTTAATCTCATAAGATTGCCCTCACTTCAGATGCTAGTCACAAATATCGGGTTCCCAGGTTGCCACACTTCTGTCTGACTTGGCTGTAGATCAGGGGTTTTCACGACACCCTTTCTCTCCAGGTTTGCTAATTCACTAAAGTGCTCATAGACCTTAGGAAAACTGTGTATTTATCATTGTAAAGGATTCCATATGTGAACAGCCAAATAGTAGAGATCTGTTGGGCAAGGTATTGGAGGAAGGCATAGAGCTCCTCTGCCCGCTCCTGTGTGCTACCCTCCATCACCTCTCTGTGTGCGCCCACCTGGAAGCTCTCTGAACCCCTGGCTTAGGCGTTTTTATGGAGACTTCATCATGTAGGTATGATTGATTAAATCACTGATGATTGACTCAGTCTCCAGCTCCTCTCTCCTTGGGGTTAGTAGGGTTGAAGTTCTAAGCTTTCAATCAAAGTTTGTATTTTAGCAACCAGCCTCATCCTAAGGTTGTAGAGGACCCAGCCTGTCACTTTATTAGTACAAACTCAGGTGTGAGAGGAAGGGCACATTAGAAAGGACAAAAGTCACTTATCACTCAGGAAATTCCAAGGGTTTTAGGGGTCCTGTGCTAGGAGCCAGGGATATTTTTTATTATGCCACATATGCTCTAGGTATATTTATTCTGCACATAATCTAGAGCTTCATCTTGCTTAATTGGCCAGATGTCAGTGGATATTTTCAGAGCTGTTTTATTGGGAAGCTGACAGTGTGATATGAAAGCTATTTTACTGGAACCAGATTGCCTGGGTGTGAATCCCAACAATCTCATTTATTAACCATGTGAAATTGGGGCAACATTTAACTTGTCTGAGCCCCTGTTGACTCTTTTGTGAAATGGCAATAATAATAATATTTACCTCAGAAATATTGTGAACATTAAATAAGTTAATACAAAGTAATCATTTAGATCAGTGCATAGTTTATAGTACACATTTGGAAAATGTTAAGTATCACAATCATTATTATCATTAGCAGACTTCAAATCAGGTCCCCAACAGGCTGGTCACAGGGCAAGGGAACCAAGAGATGAATTCAAACTTTCTGGATTCTTGTATAGCTCAATAACTCATTGAGTTATAACACTGATCCAGAAACATGAAGTGCTTACTGGGTTTGGATGAAGATGTGAATTGTGAGCTTTTCTTCCTATTTTCTACTGCTTGTCTATTAACTGGGCCAATGTGGAAGAGAAATGAATGAACAAAAATTGCAAACAAATATTTAAGGAAGAAAACTTTAAAAGAACATATCATTTAGTTTGACAGCTTGTTCTCTGTGTAGACAAGTGCAAATAGTGTTTTTTTATTATTAAATATACAAAAGTTGTAGAATAATATACTGGCTTAATTAGTTTTAATTGGCCAGTGTCTGACCATTGTTTAGATGAGATCCTTTTTTGTTTTTCTTTTACTATGCAAGATTGAAAAAAAACAAAACAAACCTATACTTTTTTTTGTAGGGCAGGGCTGGGACTTGAGCATTTAGTTCCATCTGGTAGGTAGCACAGTGCCTGGAATGGGATGAGGTTCCTAGCAGGTGTTTGCTGAATAAATAAAATTCTTTCGTATAAAGAGTCATTTTCCACTCCACTGGAAAATTGTTTTCAAGAGAATATACTTTTACTAAATGCAATAAAATTTCATGGAGCACTCCAAGGAACTGCCCTGTGTTGTGATGGCTGGTGGGAGTGAGATGACGTGGGAGGGAGGGATGGAAAATGTGCTGCAGAGAGCTCTCAGGCATGAGGCTACGTGGAGAAGGACAATGTAATTGAGCCTCTGGTTTTCTTGTTTTTCTTTTCTTTCTTTCTTTTTTTTTTTTTAAAAGATCCTGCTCTCCTACAATTCTGTTTTAGGAGTATGTGGGGCTGGCCAGACCTCTGAATGCCTGCCATGCCAAAGGCCCCATTTAAGGAGCACTCGCTGGCCGCGGCCCTTGCCGTGTGGATACTCCTTTTTTATCCTTAGCATAACTTCTGCCTGTGACTAAGTAGACTCCAGAAAACCAGAGGTAGAACAGTCTATTGTGATTTGGCACAAAACAGTGATTTTGTTATTAAGAAATGAGTTATTTTCCCCCCTCTGGAGAATTTTAAACTGGAAACCATAGAAATATGGAGGCAGTAGTGGGGACAAAAACTAAAGTAGTGTATTAGGAAGTATCTTGAGATGGATGGAAATTAAAATGCATTGTCTGTATTATAGGGTAGACAAAATTCAAGAAATCAGAAATGCTATTTAATATTGGAAGAGAAGGAATCAGATATTTGAATTAAACTGTATAATTAATAAAGAATGCAATAGAAGATTGACTGCCTGCCTGCCTGCCTGATTGATTGATTGATTCATTCATTCATTCAACACATTATTCAACAAATTATTCAACAAATAATTTACTGAGTTACCTCTGTGTACTGGGACTATGTTAGCCCAGGTGTACTGCTCTGAAAAATCATTCAGTCAGTTGGTTATTCTCACCCAGCTGTGATTTTACCCACCGGAGGACATTGACCAAGTCTAGAGATACCTTGACTGTTACAGCTGGGCAGTGCTCTTGGTATTTACTGGGTAGACACCCAGAGCACTGCTAACTGATCAATCTACAGTGCTTGGGAGCTTATCTGCTTCAAAATATTGGTAGTTCTCAGAAGTCCTGGGATAAACCATCATAAATACATATTTCATAGAATGGTTGTTATTTTGTGGTTGACATTTGACTTTTTGTGTTTTCAGAAGTGAGGACGTTTCCTGGAGTGAAATGGAGGCCTCAGTAATATTACCCATTCTGAAGAAAAAACTAGCCTTCCTTTCAGGTATGTTTTCTTAAAATTGGAAATGTTTGATATATAAGTTTACATAAACTTCCTTTCTTTGATAAGTTTGACAGAAGTCATTTTGTTTTTCTGTGAAAGATTTTAAAATGGTATGTCTTAATGAGAGTGAAGAGCTATGTGAGTGGACTGTCAGGGCTGGTTCCTGGCAGGGCAATTTTTATTCTCTTCTGTAATTTAATTAAAATGACCTCTACAAGGTAGATGCCAAATTTCTTACTTCTTAAATAAAAATCTTATAATTAATAATTGAGGGCTGGGGATGTGGCTCAAGCGGTAGCGCGCTTGTGTGGCATGCGTGCGGCCCGGGTTCGATCCTCAGCACCACATACAAACAAAGATGTGTCTGCCGAAAACTAAAAAATAAATATTAAAAAATTCTCTCTCTCTCTCTCTCTCTCTTAAAAAAAATAATTGAATAGGTGGCATCTAAATAATTGTTTCTGAAATCTAGAGTAGTTAGTCTTTGTGAAATCCTGTTCCTTGGCTTTTGTTTCCATGTGTGAGAATGTTGTAGTACACTAGAGCAGTTATAGAATTATCAGTTGCGCTGCTTTTTTTCTCTCTTTATTTTTGGTACTGTGGATTGAACTTGACCGCTGAGCCACACATCCCCAGCCCTATTTTGTATTTTATTTAGAGACAAGGTCTCACTGAGTTGCTAAGCACTTCACTATTGCTAAGGCTGCCTTTGAACTTGAGGTCCTCCTGCCTCAGCTTCCTGATCCGCTGGGATTACAGGCATGGGCCACCATGCATGGCTCTGCTTTCACTTTTAACTGTTTGGAATTGGGTTGTACTGGCTTAACTTTATTTTAGCTTATTAACACTAATCTGTATCACCTAAAACAAGTAAAAGAGAAGCTGTGAGATATTTTGCTAGCCTGAGAGCAGCGGTGTGGTGTGTTGAGTGTTGATTTTCTGGAATTTGGATCATTGAGTAAATCATTCCTACTTCAGAACAGGCACTGTGGCCAGGTACAATAATCCTAGCCTGGGGAGGCAGAGGCAAAGGGCTGCAGTAGAGAGACAAGAGACAGAATGCTCCTGGGTTCCGTCTCCAGTGACCCCCAACCTTCATCTCCCCAACCTGCCACACAAATATAATGGGTACAATGGACCCTATTTGGGGTCATTTGGATGGTATTATCTGCTTTTCCCTTCTTAATCTCACGAGGTCCTGTTATAATACCTTGATAATACTAATGTCTTTTTTCAAAATATCTTATAAATTGGCATGTTTACCTAGTATGAATGATGGAAGATGAAATAAGAAATTGAAGTCTATTAGTATTATTGTCTCCTTATTTTTTTTTTTAAAGAGAGAGAGAGAGAACAACATCTTTATTTTATTTTTATGTGGTGCTGAGGATCCAACCCAGCGCCCCACGCATGCCAGGCAAGCGCGCTACCGCTTGAGCCACATCCCCAGCCCTGAAATCTGTATTTTAAATAAAAACAAGCAATTGGTTCACTATTAATAATTCGTACCGTCACCCTAATGAAGGACAGAAGACCACTTACAGTAGCATGTCATGTCTCTGATGCAAACTTTTTTTTTTTTACTTTACACCTTTCAGTTCTTGGTGATAGATTTCTAAAGCTGATATAGAATCATACTCCTCAGGATTCGCTGGTTTTTAAGCTTTTAACTCTGCTATAATTGTCAGCTGGGTGGGGAGACATGTTCCAGTATGAAAGTCAAGCCTGTGGGGAACTTTCAGAAAAGCTGTGTGTGAATAAAAAAGTTTAAAAGTTACATTTTAATGCATAGGGCACACTAAAGGGATCTTGGACATGCAAGGAGTGTGTGTGCCTCATGCCTTGGCCCCCAGGCCTTAGGAGCCCAGGTCCCAACCTCCTTCTCTGCTGGATGGGGCTTCCTCTTCATGGTCTTATCAACAACATAGGCCTCTATGACCTTGGTGAACCAACTCAGATCATTCCTTATCACAGAACGCTCTCTTGACTGAATTTATAAATTCAACTCCTTTTAAAAATGTCTTAGCATTTTTGTGAAACTTTTCACATATATCACAGCTTTTATCATTTTCTAAATCCCTTTTTATAATGTTTTAATGTATTTTGTATAACATACCCTAGCATATAAATGGTCATATTTCATCCAGTTATTTCTTAGGACATAAAACTTTTCTTCCTAGGTGGAAATTTATTTTATTTTACTTGTAAATGCTTATTGTGCTAGGCACACAGTAGGTGTTGGATGATTGATTACATTAAGAAACAGACTAAATGGAAGAAAATTAAGATGATAACTACTATGTTTGGATGAAGAGTTCATGAGTGAATTTTTTCTCTTATTTTTTTCTAAATTTCTATAATCTTGCTAGATTAGTATAAACATTTATAAACTACAAATAGTCATTAGATATTTTTAAAATTATGTCTTAACCTTGTAATTGTTTTGATAACATTGGATTTAGATATGTATTATGTATTATTTATTAGATGCCTTAATACCTATCATGTCTTAGATTTATTCTTTTTTCTTTTTTGGTACTAGAGATTGAACTCAGGAGCGCTTTTTCACTGAGCTCATCCCCAGCCCTTTTTATATTTTGAGACACCATGTCACTAAGTTACTTAGGCCTCATTTAAGTTGCTGAGACTGGCCTCAAACTTGGAATCCTCCTACCTCAGCCTCTCAAGTCCATGGGATTATAGGGGTGTGCCACTGCACCTGGCTTATTATATGTTACATTTGTATCTTTTTTTTTTCTTTATAGGAGGAAAGGACCGACGAAGTGGCCTCATTCTGACAATTCCATTATGCCTTGAACAAACAAATATGGATGAGCTGAGTGTCACTTTGGACTACCTGCTCAGCATTCCAAGGTGACTGTAAAGGTGTCTTTTCTTATATCTCAATGTTTTTATTCATTTACAATTGGTTCCTGCTATTGTTGAAGTATAATTTGCTATCTTACTTGCTTTAATTAGCAATGAAATTACATTTAAACAGTAGAATCAGTAAGTTATGACCACACAGCAATTAAATACTTACTTTATGCTTTTCATGCACTTACTATATACAGAGTTCTAAAATGTATGTACTACCAGTGTTTAAACAATTAAGAGTCATTATGCCCCTTGGAACATTAGCAGAAATGAAGAAGTTAATTTAGTGGATGTCATCTTTTATTTAGGTCACTGTTTTACTGTATGGATATAAATGAAACTATAGGATTATAATATATTGAGTGAAGGCTACTAGGAATTTTCAAAATATTTTTGTTTTTAGAAAATAATGTTCAAAAAAGTTCATGTATGAATCCATAGGTCTTTGAACTTTTAAATGTCAATTCTTCAGTGAAGACAAAACTTACACCTTCCTATTTGCTTGAGTATACCCATCACTTCAACAGCAAAAACAAAAACAAACCCTCCAAACTTCCTCTCTGACAGTTGATATTTGGGGGACTAAAGTGTTGACCACATGATAGAATCATTTGGGGATATTTTAAAAAAAATTCTGATGCCTCAGGTCCGCTTCCAGAGATTCTGACCCAATTGCATTTGGAAGGTATGCTCAGTAGAATTTTTCTTTAATCCTTTAAGCTTCCCATATAATTCTAATATGCAGCTAGATTTGCAAGACTCAGCAGTGAAGCATGACAGTGATCACAGGTTTGTGTGAGTGAAATCTAGAGGCAGAAAAAGAAACCAATCTATATATATGCCCTTAAGCTCTAGATGGTGAATTTAAAATGTTTTAGTCACAGTAGACAATTCTCTTTTTTCTTATCCTGTATCTGCATTTTATTGACATAATAACTTATTTTATTTAAAACCATCTTTAAGAGTACAGGTTAAAACTATATCTGGGAAAAAATTTCAATAGTTTAGTGATTATATTGCTGATTATTTTTTTTCTGTATTGGAGAAGACTTAAATTAAAAATTTAATTTTTTTTTCACTTTCTGGAGAGGAAATTATCAGGCCCCAAAGTTGTGTGTTCATATTGAATAACCTTATAGTCCTTTGGACTGCTGATGTTTGATTTATATTGTTCACCATTAGGTAACAAATTTCTTTTTTAGGTAACTGAGATTTGCTAGAGTTACAGCTCACAGATTATGGTAAAAGTACTCATAGATGGGTTTGTAGAAGGTTAACTCTTTCAGGGAATTTGGAGAACGTCAGAACCACCTTCCTTATTTTATGGTTGAGGGGATTGAAACTTAGAGGTCAGGGTTACTTGTCCAGGATCACACAGCCAGTTAGTAGTAGAGCTGGGTCTAGAATCTATGATTCCTGACACTCATCCAAAACCTCTTTGTACTTCAGATGACTATTATACAGTATAAATGCTGTTGAGAAGCACAGGCATGGAGCTGGACCGCTGGGTTCAGACTCCATCACTGGCCCTGTGGGCCACATGCTTTTGGTGGAGCCACCTAAGCTGCTTGTCCCTCTGGGCCTCAGTTCCCTCAAATGTGGCATGGGAATGAGGATGATAGTGTTTGTCTTATAGGGAGTTATAAGAATTAAATGAGGAAATACTACCCATTACACTTCCTTAATTGTGGGACAATCTTTCTGTATCTGGCCTCCAATCATCATCCATTGTGGGGCCTATTCTGAATTTAGTTCTAAAAAAATTTGGTAAGACAAACTCAAACAAATACTCAACTCAAACTTCTATGTGTTTGTTTAGTTATCCCAACAAATGTGAGATGCTCAGTGTTAGGGTTTGGATATGAAGTACCCCCCCCCCCCCAAGGCTCAAGGGTTCACTTGTAATCCCAGTGGCTCGGGAGGCTGAGACAGGAGGCTCATGAGTTCGAAGCCAGCCTCAGCAAAAGTGAGGTGCTGAGCAACTCAGTGAGATGCTGTCTGTAAATAAAGTACAAAACAGAACTGGGGATGTGGCTCAGTGGTTGAGTACCCCTGAGTTCAATCCCTAGTAGCCAAAAAGACCAAAAAAAAAAAAAAAAAAAAGACTCAACGGTTAAGGCTTGATTACCAATGCAGCAATATTCAAAGGTGGGGCTTTTGGCATGAGGACTCTGACCTTATGGGTTGATGACAACTGAATGACTACCTGGAGGAAGAGGGAGCAAGTGCCTGAGCATGTGCCTCCTGGCTATCATGGGCTGAGCAGCACCCCAACACCATATCCTATCAACCTACCATCACAAGTCACCTGTTGTCTTCTGAATCTCAGCCTCGATGCTGGAGGAAAACCCAGCAAGTTTGTCCAAACAAGTACGCAGGTCTCTAATCCTTCCTCAGGCATTTTTCAAAAGTAATCTAAACTATAAATAGTTTTTGCTTTTCATCTGAATTTCCAAACCAGACTTCATGTAAGATTTGGTGATTCCTTGGAAAACTTGGAATGGAACCACCATTTGACCCAGCTATCCCATTCCTCGGTTTATTCCCAAAGGACTTAAAAACAGCATTCTATAGTGACATAGCCACATCAATGCTTATAGCAGCACAATTCACAATAGCTAAACTGTGGAACCAACCTAGATGCCCTTCAATGGATGAATGGATAAAGAAACTGTGGTATATATACACAGTGGAATATTACTCAGCATTAAAAGAGAATAAAAGCATGGCATTTACAGGTAAATGGATGGAGTTGGAGAATATCGTGCTCAGTGTAGTAAGCTAATCCCCAAAATACAAATGCCCAATATCTTCTCTTATATGAGGATACTAATACATAGTGGGGATGGGGTGGGGGCATGGGAGGAATGGAAGAACTTTAGATAGGGCAAAGGGGAGGGAGTGCAAAGGAGGGGGTAAAGGTGTAAGAAAGACAGTAGAATGAGATGGATATCATTACCCTAGGTACATTTATGAAGACATAAATGGTGTGTACAACCAGAGACATGAAAAATTGTGCTCTATATGTGTTCTATGAATTGAATTACATCCTGCTGTTGTATATCACAAATTAGAGTAAATAAATTAAAAAAGAAACATCAGAATAAAGAGGTTTAATGATGTGCAGAAAATCACAGAGACATTAAGGACATAAATCTTGTCACTCAGTAAATACATGAGAGCCTACTGGGAGCTTTTCCTCGTTCTAGGTGCTGAGGTAGTGGGTGAACAAAGCAGACCCCATAGTCAGCACATCCTGTAGGTCAGACAGACATAATACACACAGGCACAGAGTGTTTGACACTCCTGAGTTATGAAAGCAAATCATAATCAGGAGACTGATAGAGTACAGGGGGTATGTGGTGATAGTTTACAAAGATAACATTTTACTAGAGCTGATTGAAGTGAGGGGCTCTACATGTATCTGATGAAAGACCATTTAAGACTGAGGGAGAAGGCTGGGGGTGGTGGCATACACCTGTAATTCCACTGACTCAGGAGACTGAGGCAGGAGAATCCCAAGTTTGAGGGCAGCCTCAGCAATCTGTTGAGGACTTCAGCAACTTAGCAAGACCCTGTCTCAAAAAATAAAAAAAGAACTTTACCACTGGGGATGTAGCCCAGGGGTAAAGTGCTCCTGGGTTTAATCCCTAGCACCCAAAACAAAAACAAAACAGAGGGAGCAGAGTATGCAAAGGCTCTGAGGCAGGAGCAAGTCTAGTATGTTGTGGAAACAGCTCGGAGGCGAATGTGGCTGGAGTAGTATGAGAGAGAAGCAGAATGCTGGCCTGTGGTCAGAAGGAAAGGCTGGAGTCAGTCATGGAGGCTCATGTGGGCCACAGTCAGAGCTTCAGCTCTGAATGAGAAGGAAGAGGTCAGACTCAGAAGTTGTGTAACACACATCATCTGAAAAAAATTTAAAGGCTCTCTAAAGTTAAAGCACCATGTTAGAAGTTGCTCAAGTATTACTAAGACATTATTCTTTTCTCTGGAAGCATGTTACCTAATGAAGATGAGTTGAAAGCAAGTAATTATAATAAAAGCATAAGTGAAGTTAGTGCTGTTATGTGGGCAGAAGCGGAATTCTGTGAATGTACGAGAAGGTGCTCTCGTTTGTAGCTGAAGAAATTAGTGGAGTGCAGTAGGATACTGAGCCCAGGGAGTCTCTCAACCATCCCTTTCTTCATCAGAAGTGAGTGAGCTTATTAAGGAGCCTCACTTCTTTTACAGAGCTGTTTTAAACTTGGCCATGTCACCTTTTGAGAGGCTCCACTGGAGTAGGCATGAGGAGGCAGGGTCCTAGGTGTTTTTTCTTTTACTACTGTAAAAGTTATAAACACGCTAGTAGTAATGTAATAATTTATTAAGGTTCTGCAACATGCCTTTTTTAAAGGCATAACATGCTTCTAAATTAAATATGTTGTTAAATGTTTAAACCATCACTCCACTTGAAGGAATGAAGTCAGCAACAAACAATTTCCTTTCAAAAATTTGAAAGACGACTTCATCTTGCAATTTTGAAATAATATCTTTGGATTTTGTGTATTTTCATTATCTGTTAACTTAGTAAAATGTGAGAAAATTATGATTAAAGGTATTTATAGTATGTTAAAAGATAAATTTATGTGTTTTATTCAAGATCACTACAGATGGTATTTGCAAGCTTCATTACTTAGTTTTAATGTACAGATTAATTTATAGTTTGCTTTCAGGCTTAAAATGTTTTGTAAAACATTTAACAAAATGGTTGTGTAACTTGCTTCTCAGAGATGTAGAGGCTGATGACAAGAAACTATCAAATTCTGGGACTGGCACATTTTTGGTGGAAAGGCCCTGTGCTGGCCAGCTCTGTGGTAGTGCGTTGGGGGAGGCCCTGAGTTGTTGCTACCTCTCCAGAGACAACTCAGCAGCCAGCCGCCCTGTCTAGGATGATCATTCTGGGGCTTGTATCTCAGCCCAGGCATGGTGGTCTTTCTAGATACCTAGTTGTTGGGGGAACTCCAGGAATTTCCTCCTTGCCTGAGCCTGAACATAGTAATTTGGTGTGGGGTTCGCTTCCCTCCTCAAGTCATTATATGCTGTTGCTAATCCACTAATCAGTGTGTTGTGTCACCTTTTTTGTCTCCAAGAACACCTGGTAGATACTTTATTTTGTAATGCCAGTTCAAAAATTGAGTACTTAAATTTTCTTTAAGTTGAGATTTAATTCATATATGAAAATCACCCTTTTCATAAAATATACAATTCAGTAGATTTTAGTATAATAATCACAGGATTGTGCAACTATCACACTAATTCCAGCTTATTTTCCTCTGTCCAGAGAATTTTTTACACATTTGCAATCACTCTCCACTTTGGCTTCTGTCAGTCACTAATCTACCTTCTATCTCTGTGGATTTGCCTGTTATACACATTTCATTTAAGTGGAATCTCACAACATGTGGCCTTTTTCATCTGGTTTCTTTTACTTGGCATGTTTTCAAGGTATATCTATGCTGTAGATAGATTGTCGTATCAGTCCTTCTTTCTTATGAACGAATACAATTTTATTGTATTCCCCCCGTTTATCAGTTATTAGACATTTGGATTGTTTCTGCTTTTTGACTATCATAAATCATGCTACTCTGAGCATTTATGTGCAAATTTTTATGTGAAGACTTCATTTTGCCTCCTCAAGCACTTCTCTCTACTTTGGAAGCTCGGCTTCTCTCTCTACCTACAGAAGAGCCTATTCTCCCTCTGAGTTTTTAGCAGCATTTTTGAGGTCTTACTGTTTCTCAGTACAGCTGGACTTGTTTCTCCAAGGACCCTCTTGGGACTCACATAAATGCTTGGAGGGAATGGGGAGGACCAGTGAACTCTCCCAGAATGTTGGATTTAAATTCTAGAAAAAGGTCTGCTGTTTACCTTTTCTACAGTATAGGTGATTGAGAGAACTTTTGGTGGGGACAGCTTTCACTCTCCAGTTCTTCTCTGCTAAGCAAGGTTGCAGGTTCTTTCTCTGTATTGGAGTAAAGGCAATTGATGCTTGCATAAAGTTGATAAGTAAAGTAGTAGTAGTAGTGGTTATGTAATTTTGTCTTTTGGATGGAGTTTTTCCATACAGAAGTTGTGCTATATGAGGGTAGACTACATATTTGAATAATTGGATATAATATATAGCAGTAACATGCCGGGAGCGGTGGCATGTCTATGATTCCAGCAACTTGGGAGGTTGAGGCAGAGAAGGATTGTATGTTTGAGGCCAGCCTTAGCAAATTAGTGAAGCTCCAAGCAACCCAGTGAAACCCTGTCTCAAAATAAAGAGGGCTGGGAATGTGTCTTAGTGGTAGAATGCCCTGGGTTCAATCCCTGGTACAAAAAAAAAAAAAGGAAGAGAGAGAGAGGAGGCACATGTTCAACCTATTTTTCCACAATTAAGTATTTTATTTGTCAGGTAGCTGAATGAGAAAGAGCAGAGATGGACCAGATTTGGTGTATTCAAGCTTTGAATTATTTTGTATAGCAAATTCTATTTCATCATATTAAATTTCCCCAAAAGAATACCAACAAGCCAGGTTCCAAGGTTTAATGACATTCTTATTTTCTTCCTGTTTTAAACTATTACTTTGCAAATCTTATATTTCATTAGGAAGGAGAGACAAGAAGTACATAAGCACTTGACAATCCGTAGTTGCCTACTTTGCCAGGATTCCATTGTACAAATGAAAAAATTGAGAGCTAGTGAGACTGCTTGAATGTTGCTTTGATTTCATCACTTTTTAAGACATTAACTTTTCAGGATTTTAGAGTAATTTTCTTTCAACATTAACTTGTAAATTAACTTTCCTGGAATTAAAAAAAATTGCTTCTGAAAATTGTGAAGAATTTTGTTTATTGATAATGAAGGCCAAATCAAGTAAGGTAAATTCAATCCCCTATATTATTAAAATTTTTTACCTTCTTTATTTAGAATTATGAAGAATAAAATCCAGAGCTCATTTTAATACGTTATAATTTTGTTTCATTTCAGTGAAAAATGTAAGGCTAGAGGATTTACTGTGATAGTGGATGGAAGAAAATCACAGTGGAATGTGGTGAAAACAGTCGTCTTAATGCTACAGGTGAGTCATTTTTTTGTTTGTTTATCAGAAAATCTTTTTATTTTATACACAACAAATCATGATGAAAATGACAAATGTATTCAATTTATTGGACCATGCTCAGACTTCTTGGCAGTGACCGAACTCTGAAAATGTGTATGTCACTATTGGATTGTTGGAATTCAATTTTTATATGTTTGAATTTATGAGTAAAGTAAATCTCAGCCCCATAGTACACATTTGTAAATACGTGAAGATAATATGTCACGTTCAAGTCATTTAAACAAGGCAGTCATGGCTCTCGGGTGTGCAGGTGAGCACCAGGAGAATTCCAGGGAGCTGGCAGGTAGGCTGCTGATCTCATCATGCCCCTGTGCTCCCAGCTTGTGCCACAGTTGGAAGCAAGCCTGGGTAAGTTTAGCCTGAAGAGGTCTCTCAGTGACTCTGGTATGTATTTCCATTCTGGCCCCCCTTTTCCTCCAAAGCCTTCAGGATTCATGATGATCTTAGTAGTCACTCATAGCCCAGAAGAAATTTACTTAACAGCTGTGTCCTCAGGGACTTCAACAGGTCAAAATTAACTTTAAGTTATGAATTGCTTGAGAACTGACTGTAGTCTTGTGTTTTATATTAACTGTGTTCCTCACAGAATATTTCTGCTAACTCTGGCATGTAGTAGGTATCTTACTATAGTAGATTGAAAATATGGTAATATGAAATGGAAAAATAAAACATCTGAGGGATTGAAGAAGGTAGATTGTTCTCATGGATCTGGCCTTCCTTAAAAGGGCTCTGGAGATGGTAAACTTTGAGTTAAATAACAGATATTATCTAATTTAATGAGAACAAATGAAAAATGATTTCTGGAAGGGATTGTGACTTAGTGATAGCTCAAAAATGAAGCAAATTCAGTGAAGGAAGTTGATAACCAGGCCAGTTTGGGGAAAATATAATTTGCCAGTAACCTAGGATAGTGAACATTGAGTTAGGTGAATACCAGTGATATTGAAAGAAAAATCAAGAATTCTAAGTGAATTGGAGAAATAATTGGTAGTTGCTTTAAGGTTTTGTGAAAGAAATATAATTTAAAAGTTTAAGTGATAACCAAGTAGAAAGAGTCTCAATGTTTTATCATGTATTTAGGATAATTGGGAAAAAGGTATTTGAGGGGTGGGAACAAAGTGTTATTTTTAGTTTTTAGTTAACAGTTTCAATGCTTAATTTGGTTCAGGTGCTGTGTTAAGCTTCTGTATAAATTATCTCATTTAATTTTAGCTTCACAATGTTGCAGAGCAGGTTCTTTATCTTCAAAGGTCAATTGAGGTCCAAGAATTGTAAATAACTTAAAACTAGAAATTGGTGCAGCCTGAGCACCAGCCCTTGGCTTTATGCTTGCCAAGGATTATTTACCAGCAGCATGATCTAAAGTCTCAGGGAAAGTCCTAAGGTGGAGACAGGCCTATATTCCAGGAGAAGGTACGGCTGTTATAGAGGAGTAACCCAGAAATCAACAGAGACTAAGCTGGGAGGACCTCAGTGGCCCTGGAAAGGGATTTGAATTTCTATTTTGAGAATGACAGAATGTCAAGAAGTAAGGTCTGTTAGTAGGATATTTCAGAAGCCGACTGGTTTGGGGATATTGGCATTACAGTTGGTAGGAATGGTTTAAGATGTATTTTAAAGTTAGGTTATACAGGACTTCCTGATAAAATATGTGTGCAATATTTAGGTCAATAAATGTTAATTTCCATTCTTGAGGTAATAAAGAATAACCCTATCTAGTGAATGTGAAATTGAATTCCATCAAAGCTTAGTTAGTTCTTTGTCGTCTTCTTCAAGTAATAATCATGTAGAATCTCAACCTTTTCTCTGTATTGACTGATAAGACAATTTATTTTGTGAGAAAATTCATTTATATCTTATGAAGAAATTCTTCAGGATGGTAGTATTAGAAATGCTTTTTTCATATAACAGAAAGACCATTTAAATAATTTCTCAGCTAAAAATTAAGTCTTGCAATTTAAGCATATTCCTAGTAGAGAGATTGAAGAAGACATACACAAAAAAATTTACTATCTGTTTAATATTGTTTGAAATCTTTTCTGGCTAACTTGTCTTTCCTGTTTGCATTGCCATTTATGTTTTAAAGTTTGGAGTATTACTTCTACTTTATTATTTTAATTCTTTTTCAAAGTCTCTTAGCATATTCATGATTATCTAGTAATTTGAAAGTTTAGTAATTTACTCATTTTACATGTGTAATTTACATTTATTTTTCTGTATTTTACAGAATGTTGTTCCAGCTGAGGTGTCCCTTGTTTGTGTTGTGAAGCCAGATGAATTTTGGGATAAGAAAGTGACACATTTTTGTTTTTGGAAAGAAAAGGATAGACTTGGCTTTGAGGTAAATATATTTTTTTTAAAAAAAAGTGTATTATATCTCTTAGTTTTAGTTTGTTCCTGTTGGTTACTAAGCAATGCTCAAATAGTACCTAAGTAATACTACAATTAGTGTATAGTTGTTAAATGAATTCTGATTCATTGTCAAAGACTTTTGCAAAAGCCTTTTTATTTTTATTTATATTAACTTCTTTGAAAAAGTAGAACCTTTTAATTTAAAAAATTTTCATTGCATTACCCAGAGTAAACAACTATGAGAAAATTCTAGACATTTGGAGTTGAAATTAAAGTGTACTTTCTATGATGTATCTAATTATTTTTTAATATCTTGCTTAGTTTGTTGGGTTGTTTTCTTTTTCTTTCTTTTTTTTTTTTTTTGGATACTGGCAATTGAACCCAGGGCAATTTACCACTGAGCTATATCCCTAGCCCCTTTTATGTTTTATTTTGAGACATGGTCTCCCCTAAGTTTCTTAGATGCTGAGGCTGTCCTTGAACTTGTGATCCTCCTGCCTCAGCCTCTTGTGTAGTAGGGATTCCAAGTGTGCACCTCTGTGCCCAATTCTTACTTAGTTTTGATGGATGAACACAGTATCCATCTTGTCTTATTGACGCTATTCTCTTTCTCTCTCACTTTTCTTTTATGAAAATACATCTTATTAAAAATAAGAAAGAAGCCCTAAGATGGAATATAAATTTAGACAATTTTGTCATGTTTTTCTTTTACAGCCTGTTGAATTTCCAGTTTTTTAGTAAAGAGTTGATTGATACCAAAGTCTATCTCTGGAAAAACAATGTCTAACCCATTCTGTAGAATATAGACACTGGGAATGCTTATAAGAATTTGATAGTAAAGTTTCATTTTGGACCTTGCTGTAATATAATAGTCATTTTTATTTTCATGGAAATCAATATCAGCATATTTTTGGTAGAGAGGAAAGGTGGCCAATGTATATTAGAAAGACTTAAGAAAGCCTAGTTTATTCTTAAATGAGATAGCTAGAAGATTCTTGAAAATGTTGATTTTTTCCCCCCTTTCACTTAAAAAAATGCAGCTATAGTTTATGTGTAGTATATTCATTTGAGGGTATAAGTCTGAGCTTTCTGAACAAACAGAAAATATAATAGTTTCAAAACTACTGCCACAATCAAGAAATCAGGAAATGTCTCAGCATTCCCAGAAGTCCCTGTGTTCCGTAGTCAGCTTCTCCATCTACAGCCCCCATCAGCCATTGATATGCTTTATGTCCCAACAGCCCTGCATTTTCCAGAAGGTCATATAAGAGGAATAATATAGCAGGTAGCATTTTAAATATGGCTTCTTTCACATAGCATTTAAGATTCACTCCTATTGTTTCATGTGTTTCTCTTATTGCTGACCAGTGTTGCATGACATAGATGTGTCCGCTTGTTGATTGGTTCCCAGCTGAGAGACACTTGGGGCTATTTTCAGTTTTTCTTGATTACAAGTAAAGTCATTATGAACATTCATTTGTAGGGTGTTTTTGTTGTTGTTGTTGTTATTTTTTGGTGAACATAGATTTTTATTTTGAGGGATAAAATACCTAGAAGTAGGATTATGGGGTCATATATTAAGTATCTGTTTATAAGAAATTGCCAATAGCAGTGTAAGTTGCTATATGATTTTTCACCACCACCAGCAAAGTGTGAAAGTTCCAGTTGTATCCTTGTCAGTGTTGGGTATTATCAGAGGGTTGTTTTTTCCCCCTTTGTTTTAAATAATAGCTATTTAAATGCACGTGTAGATATTTCTCTTTTGTGGCCTTCATTACATTTTTCTAATGACTAATGGTGTTAGGATCTTTTCAAGTGCTTATTTGCCATCCATGTTCCTTCTTTGATGATAAAGAAAAACTGTCTTTACTCATAACACTTCTGACAACAGATGTGTGGCTATTTGTTCATTTATTTTCTTTTCCACACCCGCCAATTCTCTCTCTCTGGGCATCATCTGGTGTCCTGTCGTTTATTTTCAGTTTTGATACAACCTCAGCTAGCAAGACCCAAAAGTAAAGGCCTCAGTTCCTAAACTGCCCCCATTTCAGTTGCCGGTTCCAAGTTTTGAATACCCAGGGTACCCAACATTTTGTTCGATTTGACTACAAATTAGGGGTTCACACAATTCCTTTAAGGCTCAGTAATTTGCCATAAGGTCTCACAGACACTTCTCAGAAGGAAGCACTTTACTTAAATTTTGTATTTTGTTAGAAAGGATATCATGGAGTGAGACCTAGAAGTATCCTGAGCATAGGAGCCATAGTCCCTAAAAGGGGTTGGAGTGTCCCAGCCCCTCAGCATATGGATGTGCTGAACAACCTAGCTCTCTGAACCCTGAATTTTAGGACTTTTTCTGGAGGCTTCATTAAGAAGACACGATTGATGATATTCTTGGCTACCAGTGGGTAACTCAATCTCTAGCCTTTCTTCCTTCCTGAGAGGTAGGAGGATGGGACTGAAAGTTCAAACTCTCTAGTCACATTTATCTTTTTGGTCACTTGCCCTCATCTTGAAGCCTTGAAGAGGCCCCTGTGGGAGACCAACCTTGCACGTGACTGGGTCACACTGCCCGGCTGCGTGCTGAGGCGCTCAGTTACCCACTCTTCTTGGGTTTAAGGGTCGGTGTCTCATGCATGGGTGTGTCTTGCTACAGCCCCATGGGTGAAGCTCTGCTCACCTGTTCCTTTGTAATATAACCCCTTACCCTGTTTAGGATAGAATCTTCCATGGAAGTGCCTTGTGTGTGTCCCCTTCTCTTACTGTGCCCTTCGGTGTGGCCTACCCAGGTGTCAGTCAACCTGCTGACAGTGGACATCATGAAGATAGACTCAGCCCCCTGAAACCTGACCCCTTGCCTCATTTGAATAGCTTCTCCTCAATAAAAGGGGTCAGCCAGTGCTCTCACTGTCTCTCTTCCTGCGGACCCTTAAGGTCAGAGGAGCCATCACAGCAACCCCAAAGAAAAAGGTATTTGTGTCTCTTGTGTGGTTATTTTGTGCAGCCCAGTCAGCCCAGTTCAACTGGAGTAACCCCTGAGCCAGGCGGGCCCCCCCTCCAGCCACCCATCATCTCATTTGCATATAAAAGAACAATCATTCTAGAGATGCCAAGGGTCTTAGAAGCTCTTAGAGAAATGAAGATACACCGTTTTAAGGTTCTTTCTCTACACTGCAAGTACTACTTCAAATAATATACTATAATTATTATTATTATTATTTTATGTTTCTGCACTAGCTAAAGTGCTGCTTTCTTTCTTTCCTTCTTTCTTTCTTTCTTTTATTATTATTGGTTGTTCAAAACATTACAAAGCTCTTGGCATATCATATTTCATACATTTGATTCAAGTGTGGGTTATGAACTCCCATTTTTACCCCATATACAGATTGCAGAATCACATCAGTTACACATCCACATTTTTACATATTGCCATACTAGTGACTGTTGTATTCTGCTGCCTTTCCTATCCTCTACTATCCCCCCTCCCCTCCCCTCCCATCTTCTCTCTCTACCCCATTTACTGTAATTCATTTCTCTCCCTTGTTTTTTTTTCCCTTTCCCCTCACATCCTCTTATATGTAATTTTGTATAACATTGAGGGTCTCCTTCCATTTCCATGCAATTTCCCTTCTCTCTCCCTTTCCCTCCCACCTCTCGTCCCTGTTTAATGTTAATCTTTTTCTCATGCTCTTCCTCCCTGCTGTGTTCTTAGTTGCTCTCCTTATATCAAAGAAGACATTTGGCATTTGTTTTTTAGGGATTGGCTAGCTTCACTTAGCATAATCTGCTCTAATGCCATCCATTTCCCTGCAAATGCCATGATTTTGTCATTTCTTAGTGCTGAGTAATACTCCATTGTGTATAAATGCCACATTTTTTAATCCATTCATCCATTGAAGGGCATCTAGGTTGGTTCCACAGTCTAGCTATTGTGAATTGTGCTGTATGAACATTGATGTAGCAGTATCCCTATAGTACGCTCTTTTAAGGTCTTCAGGGAATAGTCCCAGAAGGGCAATAGCTGGGTCAAATGGTGGTTCCATTCCCAGCTTTCCCAGGAATTTCCATACTGCTTTCCAAATTGGCCGCACCAGTTTGCAGTCCCACCAGCAATGTACAAGTGTACCCTTTTCACCACATCCTCGCCAGCACTTGTTGTTGTTTGACTTCATAATGGCTGCCAATCTTACTGGAGTGAGATGGTATCTTAGGGTGGTTTTGATTTGCATTTCTCTGACTGCTAGAGATGGTGAGCATTTTTTCATGTACTTGTTGATTGATTGTATGTCCTCCTGTGAGAAGTGTCTGTTCAGGTCCTTGGCCCATTTGTTGATTGGGTTGTTTGTTCTCTTATTGTCTAATTTTTTGAGTTCTTTGTATAAGTAGTACTTGAAGTATAATATACAATAACATACTAAAGACTGATTAATTACAGATGTATATTGTAAACTCTAGTACAACCATTAAAAAATTTAAGAGATAAGATAGTAATGGAGATAAGATGTAATCAGATAACAAATGTCAGGAACTGAGGATTAAGACCAAATATAACAAAAGATTCTCCTATCACTTGGGAAATTGCAAAGGTTCCAGGAGCTCTGTGCCAAGAACTGAACCAGGATGAAAAGCAAATAAATATTTTTTATATCACAGTATCATATAATGTCTTTCAAATGTTTTGCCACCTACTCCCCAATAAAGCCCTTTGTTTTCTTGTTTCTGAATTTTGAGAGATCTTGATGTAATTTGGGTAGAAATAATTTATCAGGTACATACTGTACAAATATTACATCCCAGTCTATTGTTAGTCTTTTTATTCTGTAAATAGTCTATTTGCCCAGTTTTTGTTTTATGAATCATATCTGATTTTGGTGTTACAGCTGAGAAATCTTTGCCTAACTCAAGGTCACAAAGATTTTTCTCCCATATTTTTCTCCTAGCTGTTGTTTAGTTTAGAATTTAAATTTAGATCTGTGAGCCATTTTCAGT